ACTGTAACATTTATCTTTTGCATAAATACATTTTTTGTAAAGAATTTCTCATAACTTTGAAAAAAAGTAGTCTTATTGTATAATATGGGTAGCTTAAAATCTTGTAGACTTAAAAAGTTGTACATGATGTGTTACACATCTTACATATGTAACCATTTCATATCAGGGTATTCAGCATATATTGTGGTTTTGTCCTAAATTTGTTTGTTCATGTAATCAATAATTTGCGAATATTCAAATTAGAAAATGTATGAGAGAATAAACAAGAAAATTAAACCTAATAAAATGTTTTCTACTACAAAGGGGTTAATCCATAAGTAAGTTCAGTCTATACATTTAAAGTATTTCTGTATGAAATAAACTTACAATATTCTTGAATTCTTTTTGAGACGCGCAGTGTGTGTGTATGGTTTTTAATCAAACATAAAAAATCTAGAGTGGATCATGATATAAAAAGTAAATACAAATGATTTTCAAAGCAGAACGAATCTTTTCATGTCAAATTTTCTTTCATAAAACATTTGGTTACTTTTAAAAATCAGGGGATGTGTATGTCATACGTTGTTAACACCCCAGTGTCACTACAGTGTTCGATTTTGGTAAAAAAAAAAACAAACCATCAAGACTTTTAAAGGATCTAAAAAGTAAATACGAATTGTTTTGAACCTCATCACATTTTTATTTTTTCCTTAAAATATCAGTCAGAAAAAGGGTAGATTCCAAGAATCCTTATGTATCTCATAGTATGATTTTCTGAAAATCCGTGACCTCTGACCCCCCATTGTGTTTATAGGTAAACCTATTTGAGCTTGTTTTTTACCCTGATCATGATTCTTTTGAAATAAAAACTATATCGGTACTCTTTCCTAGGTCCAATCTCCCGAACCCATATGAGTTTTCCTAATCTCACCCTCTAAAAAGACTGAAAAGGCTTATTTTATACACTCGGGTCACTGAATTTCACCTCGTCGCTTCGAGGTTTTTTACTCTTTTCTCCACAATGGATGCATGTCATGTATCCATTCTAGTATGAAAAGAAGCAGGAATCTTACCTTGTTTAGACCTGTATCATGCTGGAATCCTACTATGAACACCTATTAAATAATCCATGAAAATATATAAGTCCCAAAGTACAAAACACACACAGTTTCAGTTCGCCATGAGATTTCGGCTCTCGCCATCGAGGTGCTCTCTTTTCCGTCCGTGCTCTGTGCATAAATACAGACGCTCTCCAGTAGTCGGCGTCATTCGTTAGTATCCAGCATACGCCACGATGGCTCAGCAGGGAGATTTGCCCAGATATTTCCTCGTCAACGGGTTTTATTTAGAAGCCGTATGGATCGTGCGGGATGTGACCACGGGACGAGAGCTGGCCCGATGGCCCATTGTCACCCTGGGTCCTGCCAGAGATGAGGGGAGAAGACAGCAGCCCACCCCTTACAGACGGGGAGAGAGAGGAAGAAACAGAAGATGAGGGATCCCCCCTGAGTAACCCTGAGAGGTACAGAAATCCATCGCCGCCAGCTGTAGTGAGTCCGAGGAGCCCTTCCCCCCCCCCCCCCTCGTCGACCGCCTACCCCACCTGGTCCCCGAACCAGAGTCCACAGGGAGCGGCAGCAGCATCATGGGATTCCGACTCGGATTGGGAACCCCCCGTGACAGACGACTGGGCACCCAGCGAGCCTGAGCAGGAGCCAGCATCCCCAGCAGTCCGGAACTCACCCCCACCTAGAGGACCAGTACCTGTCTGGGGGATCCAGCTACCGGAGGCCCGGATCCACTGCACAGTATGCCTGGAGGAGGATCAGCCCTCCAGCTACGTGTGCTGTGAGTGCCGGAACAGGCCCGCCTGTTACCGGTGCTCGGAGGTGCTGGTCCTCCAGACTCGACCACTTGGTTGCTGTCCACTGTGTAGGAGGCGAGACCCCAGACCCCCTCTGGGGAGGAATGTGGCCACCCGCGGGGTCCGAGGGCTCAGACCACCACGGCCCTAGAGACCCCCCACCAGACTTGGACTACCCTCAGTCAGGAGACCGCTCTCAGACCGACCAGAGTTCCGGGGACGAGGCAGGCGACGAGGCAGGGGACATAGGGAGTAAACCCTACCAAAAATCAACACAACGGCTCTTTTAAGAGCCACCAAATGTTTAGAAAAGATGCCTTCTTAAACAGTCAAAAACAAGAAACATTGTGTGTCTCTCAAGTTTAACACCAGGTCACTTTACAAAACTTATAATTTTTTTAAAAACTTATAATTTTTTTTAAAATTAACTTTAAATTTTTTTTTTTATTGAGCATAATTCTCACTAGGACAGTTTGAGTATTTTGATTTAAGCATTAAAGAAACCATTTCATATTTCAATATACAAACCATGTTTAGTCATGCAGTATATAGTTTACACTTGCCAAAAAGTAAATGGTTATCTCTATTCAGGGTCAATCCAAAGGTCAAAAAGGAATGAAAAAAATATTTCCCTTTATGTATCAAGGTATTATTGCAATAAATTCACTGTATTCATTTTTCATTCTCTTTCTATGTATGAATAGCTCATATTTAGGCAATCAAAATACAAAAAGTAAATAAATTATGTCAAATGATAGAAGGTATACACCAGAAAATAACATGGACAGAGAATTTCCCTCAAATAATTTAATGTCATTGATACAAATAAAAACAAAATGTGGATTCATCTATTAGGATTGAGACTTGTACATATTATGAATGATGGGTACTATGACATTAAGAATGACATGAAAGAATTAAGTTTGATTCAATTATATAATTAGTTCTTAATCCATACAGTCAAAATGGAGGGAAAAAAATTTCTTTATTAGGCATAAAGTAACAAACACTCACCCAATGCATCAAAATTTTACTTTTTTTGAAGAAAAGGAACCCTACTTGCTTTTGTTGAGTTGACATCATATATTTGTGTTTAACAGGTAGACTAATGGTTTCTGACTAGTATAAGGAGAACTTTTTTATTTAAGAATCATCAGATTGTTTTGATATTTTGGTTAAGATATCTGCATGACATCAATTAATTTGTTCATACAAAGGAATACAAGCTTTTCCATGTTTCCTCTTTACTCAGATTAGATTGTGTTTTGCTAATATATCGAACATACAAGATACTCATCAAAGTCAAACAAAGGTAAATAAATGATCTTATTAAGTTTTTAGTCAAAAGATCAAAGAGATGTGGACCTCTTTGTTTAATTGGACAATTGTTTAGTTAATATTCATCAATGGATAGGTTCATTAAACAAACTTCATATATTTTTGGATTTTCAGGTTAAAGATCAACACACTTTTTTGCTATACCATTGTTGTTTATGAATATCTTCCACCTCAATATTGACTTTTCAGGTTAAAGGTTAATGTATTTCTGCTACAGTAAAACTTCATTATAAGGATCTCATAGTGATATTTTTTATTTGTAAGGAATTAGATGTAAAATCTCCCACTCTTTCTTTAATATATCAGAGAATGTGCTCCTATATTTTTTAAAGAGTTTTACAAGCAAATCATATACTGACTTTCAATCCTTCAAAAACACAATATGTATATTAAATCTTGAGATTCAGACTTTCAGACTTTTAGGCTTTCAGACTTTTTTAGGTTTTCAATCTTTTTAAAAACTTTCAATCTTGAGGACTGAGTATTTTAATATTCATTTTGTAAGTCTTTTATATCATTAGGATTAATCCTTAGTAATTTAAACTTTTTTCATATTTGTAAAACCAGAGTGTGAAAGTAACAGTGTATGTGTAATCTTCTTACTGTTTATCTAAAATTACTGATTTTAATACAGTCAAATATAATTTATGATGATCAAAATTTCAAAAATTGCCTGACCTGTACATATTTAAAGTTTCAATATCATACACTCATGAACATCCATAAAAATCAATATATTGATTAAGCATTTGCTATCAACCATACACTTGTTAACCTAAGGAAATGCTCTTATCATAAGTTAAACGCATGAAATTCTTCATGCAAATTTTGAAGAATCTCTGTTAAAAGGGATGCTAAAGACAAAAGATCCATACATTTCCAAGTAGTCATAATTTTTAAAACTACATATCCACATTAAATTAAGGAACATTGGAAGAACCCTTTTTTTCCTTTATAACTCATGACATTTCATGTAGATGGATGCTATGACGTGTAAATAATCTTTTTATGAAAGGAGGATGGTGTAAAGTTACTCTTACCCAACACCCAAGGGTAGAGGGGATGGTGGAGGGGTTGAATCCCTTTCTTTTGTCCAGGAAACCTGAATTTTAAATTGAATATCCATAAATATCAATATATTGATATACCTGGTATAGGGATGGTCTTTTGTCCAGGAAACCTGAATTTTAAAGTAAATAAATTATAAAATTGAATTCAATTTGTTTTTTTTTTTTAAGTTTCTTTTTTAAATTTGAACATTTAATTTTTTTCCTTTTGATTACCAGGCTGTCTAATAGGTGAACTGCATCAAACTAAATACAGATCATTTTAAAGTCTTGCATTTTTTATGCCAAAGCATTCATAATTGGATAATATATATAAACCTGAGCCATACATAAACAGGAGTGAAACTGAAAAGCCATACAGGTTTGCATTCTTAATCTTATATTTGTTTACTATATGTATGACTTGTACCACATGTGGGTTTTTTTGTCCAATTGAATAAATAAAAAAAAGGCTATTCTCTCCTTAAGTTTTCTGTAACCACTAGCACAATCTCAATAAAAACAGCACCTTTTAGAAAAAGTTTATGGCTTTTTCCTGTTGTATGTTAGACAGACTTATTTTCTTTGAACTGTGTTCATGTGAAATTGAAACCTTTTGACCTTATACCTTAAAATTGAAGAAGTATAAAAAATTATACCTGTTTAAAATTAATGACCATGTTCAGTGAGATACTTTAGCAACAAAAAAAAGACCCGTGACCCTTCTATTTATAGCAACCCTTTTTGAAAAATTCAAAAATTTATTCAATGATTTACACTTCTATTTCTTCTTCTTCGTCTGATGATCGGTCCTCAATCACTCGAGTCAACAAAAGTCCTTTGTTCTCCACCGAGTCTTTAATCTGGGCAAAGGGGATGCGACAATACAAGTACATGTACTGCCTAACGCCGTGATAATCTGGAAAAGTCAGTTCTTTTTTCTCCATCTTGAAAAAAAATGTTTCACACAGTCTCTGATGTCCGAGTACCAAAGACTTTCATTCAGTACCATGTTCACAGGTGTCCCATCTTTCATAGAATATTGAGTACAGGTGACCCATTTGTATTGCTGATAATGTTGGTTGATTTTCACCCTCACTCTAGGTCCTCGAAGAGATGGGATTTTCACTCTTTTTTCCAACCACACATTGTCCAGGGAATATCCTGGATGATTTTCATAGAAATCCATGATGGCTCCTATTTTAGTTTTCATCCACCCTCCTTGCATGTACATAAACTGACTGACAGGACTCTCACAATACCAACGATACTGCATCTTTGGGAAACAAAACACGTCTGACTTGTTTCGTGTCCTTTTTTCAGAATGAGAGAGTTTTTTGTTATATACCTCTTGAATAAAGCTCCGCTTTATATATACCTTTACTGTAAGAGCCGTGTGCAAAACATATACGATAGACCTACGTTTTTTTTATGCTGACTGCACAGGTAAATACTTGCGCCGTGTGCAAAACATATACGATAGACCTAGGTTTTTTATGCTGACTACACAGGTAAATACTTGCGCCGTGTGCAAAACATATAGGATAGACCTACGTTTTTTATGTACACAGGTAAATACTTGGCAGAGATTCAAATCCGTGATTGTGACGTCATCCTTACAAAACCTAATGTATAGAGAGCGCTTAGTTGTGTGTATAAAGGGAAATAACTAACAACACTAGAATTTTTGGGTTTTTCTTTTTATTCTTTATTCATATCAATAACAACAAGAACAAGAACATCATAATAATAAACATTCAAAACTTTTCTTCAGTTCTTTTTGTATGGGGAAGGATCTCCTCATGTACAAATAATGTGTTTCACAAGCACAGTCCATGATATCGTATCCTTTTAGGGCCACTTTCTTACCATAATCTTTAATACAATCTCCGGATTTTTGTATCCATTTCCCTTGAAACAAAGTCTTCTCAGGTCCCTCTCTTTGGTGAGCCAAGACATATTTGATTTTCCATTTGAATTCCCGATACTTGGGATGTCTGGGTCCTGCTAAGAGCAGGATGTTGTCCCCTATGGAATTAGGTAACTTTATTCTCTTATACAGGTAGATTTCATGGAGGCCTGTTTGTCCTGGATTCTTATCAAAGAAATCTTGAATACATTCCTCTTTGTTTTTCATCCATTCTCCCTTTAAAGTAGTACCTTCAGGTTCTACTATTTTCCAACGATACTCTGAGCTTAAAATTTCCATGATGTGCTCTGTCCCTCACTCAGATCAGAAATGATCCTCTTGGGGTTATGGTGTCTCCTTTTTATGTAGACTCTCAGGTGTAATTATTTTTTAACTTGCAGAGGAAAAAACCAATAGAGAATTTTTAATTAGGAATAATTCAATAATCTCATTCTTTTATCACTTAGTGTGGTAAAAAAACATCTAGGTCTGAGGAGCTTGCTTAACAATAGAAAACACCAAATTTGGGTTCTGTCCTTTTATGTATAGTTAACACAGAAATATGCGTTTGGACTGTTGAATCTCACCTCGACAGATGGGGCAAAACTGAAAGGAAGGAGCACACAAAGCACAGCAGCATACGTGTCCGCAAGGTAGAAAAACGATTTGTAATTCCTCGTCTAAACAAATGTGACATTTTCCTCGAGCCTGGACGTCTGGTTCTGGGTTCAGTAGAGGTTTAATCTCAGGTAAAGGTTTATATCCCTGCTGATCTAAACCCGCAATGAACACATTCATCACCCATCCTCGTCCCTTATACAGATTGATGTAAGGACAACTGGGGTTCCAATAAGCATGTTCTACACAAGGATCGTCCTCGGGATCCCAATTACTAAAAGTCATTCCACAATGAAAACAGGTAGCTTTATCTTTCACTCCCCTGTAGTAAAGCCCGGCTCGAGCTAGGTCTGGTATTTTTCCTAAGAGAGGTTCTGGCCATCCCTGCTCAAAAGTAGCTTCTCTCTTTGAGAGCCAAGCATACTGGGGATAACGCATGGGTTGATCTAGCAATTTCTCAGTCATGACTGAACTTTTGATTTGTATTGCTCCCCTTTTTATAGAGAAGAAAAAAACAACAGCACATAAAACATTCAATTTTTTATTTGTAACAACAAACAAACAAACATATCAATAACCATAAGGTAAAGTGTTATAATTCTCTACAATTTATCTCTTGTCATACACAATTCTATACTTTTTCTCTGAAGGTTTGTTCACGACGTCATGATCACGGGTCCTCTGGATTTTGCTTTAAGGGACTGTTACTTCCTCTATTTCTCCCTTGAGCATTTCTTCTAAAGTGTCTGGGCACACGATCTTGGAGGTTCGATGGTTGATAGTGATTCATTTGCATTTATGAACCTCGGTTCCTTTGGCCGTCCGAAAACCATAATTTTTAGGACCTGCCGACATGAATTTAGTAATGTGATCCCCGTCTAATTCGTCGGTCCATTCTCCTAAACTATGACCCAAGGTAGGATTAAAAGCTCCTTCTAAATGTTGGTATATGATACTGTCCGTATCGAAATAAAGGCCCCGTTCTTCTAAAGGTTGTAAAGTCTCGTAGAGGTGTAAGCGGGCATAGGCGATGGTAAAACAAGCCAGGATCACGTTTCCAAAGGGACATTCTTCGACGAATTCCTGTTTGTCTTGAAAATTCACTAGAATCTTGTCTTCATTGGAATCTTCTTTATTGACTAAGAGTCGAATTCCCTTGATGTCGAGAGTCGAATTTTGTAAGAGTTGATGTAATTCCTCTGTTTCGTCCAAGTATCTGATTTTGGGTAATAACAACCGTTGAGCAAATTTTCCCCACAGACAATTTAAAAAGAGTTTAGCAAAGGTTCTTCTCACTGGATTCTTCTGGATACTGATCCTATCCATCAGGAATCCTTCTTTCTCTAAGATTTGTCGAATGTAATCTTGTTCTTGTTCTGAGGTCTTACAGTCGGGGGGAAATCCGGACGCTTCCTGTTTGATCTTGAGGAAGGTATTGATGTAGTTTTTAAATAACTCTTCATTGCTTTCTTTAAAATGCCACACTTCGTAAATTCGCTCTAAGGTATAGCCCATGTCCAGGGCTTTATGTAATTCGGTCGTCACCCAAGTACCCGCAAGACTACGTTCCCGGTCGGTGTGTTGACATGGGTGTTGAGAAGTAGGGTCCTGTTGTTGGGCACACGTGCGACATAAGGGAAATAATAACTTGCCTCCCGTCCGATAAGGTAATACGGGGTGAAAGAGGCCTCGGGGTGGTAAGACCCGACAGTGAATTAGACCGAAATAACTTCTCACGTCCTGGAAGTCGTCTGTGATGATCTCGGGATGCCCTAGGGGAAAGGGTCTGTGTTTCAACACGTAAGGGTATAAGGAACACACGTCCACGTATCTCATGTCCCCTTCTTCACAATATAATTTAGTGGCATTGGTTCGGCCTCCGTTCAGCCCTTCTCGAGGTTTCAAAGGATCGGGAATGTCCAGATCTTGTACAAATTGCTGTAAACTCTCATCTTGTTGCACTTGCTGATCGAAATCGTGCTCCCAGATACTACACACGGTGTACCCCATATCCTCTAAATCCGCAGTCCTTCTGAGGGTTTTCTCGTGTAATTGTTGGTAAGTAAATTGGGTCCGGTGAGGATGAGTTTCCGTCTGTAAACTGGGATAGCAAGTGGGGCATCCGTGCCAATAACACCCGTAAAATTCGTAGACGGTACGAGTCGCTTCCTGGTATCCGTCGACGGTATAATTTCCGATCGGGACTTCGCCTCCGTTTCTAGCATGTCGTATGTGACATCCACTCTGATGACTCATCCAGGTGAGCCACCGATAGGCTTTGGCCGAATATTGTCGTGCCGGTTCATACCCGAGGTTCGGAATGATGGCAATGGTGTCTTTAGGCATGAAATTTCGACGGTAGGCTAATTTAGCAGCACTGGCAAACGTGATGGATTCCTGGAAAGGGTCCACGTTGACCAACCTCTTGAGGGTGCTTCTAACTTGTGCACAGCATCGTCGTAAAATGTCGACATCTGAGATACAATACCCTACAAACTCTTTCTGGAAATCAAACACTTTTCCCTTCTGTTGTTCGTACCATTGGAAAAAAGCTTGTCGTCCACTGGTAGACATTTCGTCCGGTTTGTAGAAAGCTGCCGGTGGATAAGGTCCCACGTAATTCTGGTTCTGTTCCATATTAAAAAAGTGAGGGAAATAACCTTTCTTCAATTCTTTGAATCCGAAAGCGGAGGGCATCTTGGCCAAAGGAAAGGTTAAGAAACTATACGAGTCGATGAATTTGAGTCCACATATTTCCATGTACAAGATCTTACTCCCGTTCATGATCACGTTAGGTTTCAGGCAAGAGGAATGCACTATGTAATTCAAAATGAATTGTCCGTCGTATCCTTTGAAGTTATGGGCGATGACGATGGCCTCGTCGTGTACTAAAGTGGAATTCTTAGTACCTGTAGTGGGTTGTAATAACCAGTCCATGAACTTCTTTAAGGTCTCTGGGCCTTGAAAAAGGTGCTGACGGGGTCCCATGTGTTGACAATGAGGACATGGTTGGTCTATGTCTAAGTCATCGCAATGTTGACAGACGCGATGTGCCACACATAGATTAGGAACGTGAATGCCCGATTCCTGAGTGCATTCGAAATCGAAATAAATGTAACTCTAAGGTGTCTTTCCCCTTCTTCTTATTCTTCTTGGGCTTCTGTTGAACGTAGCACCGATGATCGGCATCGACGATTTTCTTACAGATCTTACACTGTTTATGTCCTCCGCATTTGTGATGAGGTAATAATTTCTTAGGTATCCAGGACTGACACTTCTCGCATACCCCCATTAAATTGCAGACAGTAGTGGTGGTTTTCTTACTATGAGGTCTTAAATGATTTTCGTAGCAGGTCCTGTTCTTAAACATTCCTTGGCATTCCCGACATTTAATCTCGATCCCTTCATCGGGACAATTAGGGTGTTGTCCTAAACAATAGGTACAGCGATGAGGGCACTTGGACCGATGTTCTGTGACAGTTCTGTACCCCATGTCGCAATGATCACAGTAGTAGGGGTTCCCCGTTACTCCCGACATCGATATGATGGCATCGTAATGATGGTTGTCTAACAAAATGTTCAAACAAGTTCCATCTCCCCAGCCTTTGAAGATGCGCTCTAAACAGAGTTTAGTGGAAGTAGATTTGAACTGAAATATTTTCAGTCGATACTGAGGAGCTAACACCTGTTGTAATTTCGTCCACTCTGCATTTCCACAAGCTTGAGTGATATCACACTCGGCTTGTTCCATGAGGGCTATGGCTTCTCGTTTCTGGTCTAAGGATTGCCTATCTCCTAATCTCATGCGTTTCCATTGTTTTTCCCATTCGGGGTCTGGATGTTCGGGTTTTTGACTGTGTAATCGAGTGACGACGATGGCTCTAGCCAAACAAAATTTATCATGGGGATTGACGATTCGAACGATGGATTGTTTATTGTTCTTGAAAGTTTCTTTATCCACTTGTAAATGTTTGTTTCTGTTTCCACCACTCCCCTGGGGATTCTCGATATGAAGCAGTTGGAATTCCGTGGAGCCGTCGCCCAGTTTGAACTCTTTTAAAATGACGTCTTCGTTTATATCTTTACATTGCGTAAACTGGTACGAAATGTCTGATTCCAGAGAATGGTGATGAAGGTTCAGGCGGAGGTAATCGTTAGGATTACACTGCATTTCAGATTTGAAGTCTTGTAACATGTTTCTGAATAATCGCCGAAGGAAAGCTGTGTTTTCTTCTTCTTCTGGAAATTCATCGAAATGAACGATATATTCATTTTCATGCGCTTTAAATTTTGGAGAGGTCCTTTCTTGAGTTAGTCTCATATGATAATACTCAGAAATGGGTTTAGGTGGTAAATCTATTTCTCTCTCGATACTTTTTCGTTTCAATATTCGTTGAGCCTGTAACTGTTTTTCTCTAGTAGAATCCATGTCTATCAGCTGATGGCTCTGAGGGTAAAATGAACCCAAAGTGAAAGAAAAATATTTATATATAGTGGATGACGTTACAATGCATAGGTAAGTTTTATCGTACTTTTTGCACACGGCACTTACAGATGATGCAAACAGGTATATATAAGGAAAAGGTAGGTAAAAAGGTATATTTCTTTTTGCACACGACCCTCAGTTTTTGCACACGGCACTTTATAGGTGATGGAAACAGGTATATAAGAAAAGGTAGGTAAAACGTATATTTGCACACTGCCCCTAAAATAAATCCATGCTATATATAAACCAGAGCTGAACATGAAGGATCATTCTGTGTGAGTACTTGGAAGTGAACACAGGTAAAAAAAAAATGCCACTCAAAGTGTACTTCGGAAACTATATGACAGAGAAAACGGTGTATTGTTGGTCTATTAACGGAGAAATTTTGGGAGAATGGATGAAAACTAAAGAAGAAGCCATCCAGGATTTTTATAAACGCAACAGAAATTAGTTAAAATGGCCACCGAATTTAAAGTACAAAAAATTTTGGTTGGTAAAAAGAGTGGAATTGGATCCTGAAGATTATGACACCAGAGAGGAAAAATACTGTTTAAAGGAGAGAAAAAATGGTTATTGGGGTTTTCAAAAATACAAATTGGATATCCTGACTGAACCTTATCATGGGGAGAATAGTTCCTGGAAAATTCAACTTGCTGATTGTTATCATCAATTGAAAGAAAAGAGGTTTAGGGAAGAAAAGAAGCTTCAAGGACTTTTTACAGATAGGTCTATTTTTAAAGTGTATGTATATTGTCGCATCCCTTTATCGCCTGAAGAAAAACAATCTCAAGAAAAAGAAGAGGGAAACCAAGAGGGATGAATCCATGCTATGTATTGGTAAAAGACAGAAAAAAAACCTCGGGAAACCAAAAGGAAACTACCCCTGACCAGTGAGAAGGGACAGAAGAAACAGAAAATGTAATTGTATGTATTTTTCTCACTTGAATAAAAATTGCTTTGTTCTAGTTATTGTGTGTGT